TTAGAATTTTAAAAAAAATTATCGTACCAAACAGCCTCATAATGTGTGTCTTAGCTTTCGATTACAGAACTTCCAAAAAATTTAATTACAGTTATAATACTAATAATAATATTAAAATTTGAATATTAAAAAAAGGACGAGTTGAGGGCCCATGTTTATCACGTTAAAGGAAACTACAAGGCTTTCCAATGGTTAGAACTCAAAAGGGTCAATATGTAAATAACAGTTTAAAATAATTACATTGCGGGAGTTATTAAAAAGTTGAGATGAAATTCGAACCTAATTGTAGATGAGGTGAACAATTCATTGAACATGAAAAGGGGTAAAAACAGTTGTAGGAACGGAACTGTAAACATATCACACGAGTAGACCAAGAAAACTTGAGAAATGGGTTGTGCATATTTTTGCTTAGTGGATTTGGTATTGTAGGGGGCAAATACAGAGCATAGGTATATATCAAAAAGGAAAAAGCGTATGAATATTTAGACACAGAAAAGATATGGACCGCTATATTAATTATTATGCATATTTTGAAGATTATTTAACGCTCATTTATTATAATGGAATGGCTTCCCCCTTTACAACAACAAAAACAAAAAGAATTAGTTTCAAGTTCCGTTGGTTGGAGCGAACTTTAATGTCGTTGAACTGATTCATCCATCGGGCACCTGGTAATATAATTGAAAATTTTCCCATACTTCCTAATAGATAGTATCAGCAAACTAACATAGACGAATCATTAGCACCAACAACATAAAATTGCAGGAAAAACAATCATATAAAAATAGGGTTTTATAAGAGTTATGTTCTAAGAAAAGTGATTGTGTAATGTTATAGAGATTCATTTTGCGTGCCGTAATTTCTTTTTCTTTTTTCTTTTTTCTTCAAAAAATATGGGTCCCACAAAATATTGTGTGTGTAGAAAAGTTTGTTATGTCATGTTAAATGACAAATGCAAACTCCATAAAAATATAAGATAATTGAAAAAGATTATATTTACAAATTTTTTGTTCATAATTTTGTGGAATACAAAACTATTAGTGTATTCCCTAAAATACATAGTTGAGTTTGTAATCAAAAAATTTATAAATATAACTCTACTCTAAATCATTATGTTTACAATTTTTTTGTTTACAAACTGCACTACGTATTGTCGGGAATGAATTCTTAATCGAATCTACTCTTGGGAATATATATTTCAGTTTTAAACAAAAAAATTTGTAGATTTTCCTTAGGTTAAATATTATGATTTTTCTTCTACATCTTTTAGTAGAGAAAAGGCTGTGCGGAGGCGTTTGATATTAGAAAAAAATTTGAATTCCAAAAAACTGATATTGGTAATTTTATTTAGAGATAAATTATTCTACCTACTAATTTTTTTGTCTACCACTCTTTAACATCATTAGATTAGAATTTCAACAGGAGAGAGAAATGATAAATGTAGTTGAGATTCTGATCTAATAGTATTTGAGAGTGGTAAACAAAAGTAGACAGAAAAAATGATAAGTAGAATAATCTATCCCTTTTATTTATCCACGTTTGGTATAAGAATTGTTAAAAAAATTTGGAAAAATCATATTCCCACCAAATTTTTTTTTGAAGTTTTTTAAACCAAAATGCTATCCAAGAATAACAGGAGAGTGATATTTTTGGATTTCTATGATATAAAAAAAATTTACAAATTTTTTTAATAATATTTCTGATAATATTTTAGCCTACTAAATAATTTTTTATAATATTTCCCAAAAAATTATTTTTCCAACGTATTCATGATAATCATACATAAATTTTTTTTCCTCTGTCATACACTTCTGAAAAGATTCCCTTAGATTTTATATCAGATTTTCTTTCCTACAAATAATTTATAAATCACGGTTTCTGACTGCGTCAAAGCCATTGAAATAAAGAAGACACACATTTCTTCATTTTCTTTTTTATTTTGAATATCAACCGCATATATTAAAAGGGAATAAATATTCTCCCATCACAGACATCATTATCCCCTTCATGCATATACATTTTAGGGATTTGTATTCATCATTTAATATGACACAAATTTTTTTTCTACACTTACAATATTTTGTGGGGTCCGCATTAAAAAAAAATTACAACACACAAAATAAATCTCTATAATATTACACAATCATTTTTCCTACCACATAACTCTCATAAAACCCAACATTTTATCGGTGAGTCTTTTAAAAAAATATATATCTCTCTTAAATTCTTCTTTATTGTTCTCTAGTAACAGGAGAATAGTACTGAAAAGACTCAAAACAATATTTACTTCTTGCTAAAAACACTTCTCATATTATATGAATAGTGTTTTTTGTTTTTTTTTTAATATGAATAGTGTTTTTTTACATTGCGATCTTTTGATTTTCATACTTGTTTTTTTAAAATAATAAGTGTTTAACTCTTAGGTGGTGTTTGGTTGGGAGCTTTTCAGCGGATATCTATCTTTCTCAAGTATGGCTTTTAGAAATACCATGTTTGTTTCAATGTTTTTCACCAAAAACCCATCTATCCAATTTGTCTGGATTTATGAGAAACATAGATATCCGCACTGTTTAGAAACCCAATTTGAAGGTGGGATTTTTCGGAAAACCGGTTATCTGCCTTTTAATGCACTGTTGATTTCATAAAGTTACCTAATTTTCCCAGTAAAGTTTTTCCCCACCAAACAACTTTTTTTTACATCTTTCTACCTATCTCACTTTATCTATCTTTCCAATCATTTCTCTATCTATCTCATTTCCCTACTATTCCAAAAAAATTTCTTGAACCAAAGGCCCCCTTACTTTTTTTGGGCATAAATTCACGGGACTCTATTTTCTCCTATAATAGGAGTTATCTTATCTGCGTTAAATATACAAATATGATAAGTCCTGCTGTTGAGATATATAGTCTCACATTAGTTATATGTGCAACTAATGTGGCCTTTATAAGGCCTTGGGCACTCCCGCTCTTTGAGCTAGCTTTTAAGGTGGTGTATCCCAAGGTTCTTTACATGGTATCAGAGCCTCGTCGCCCTCCACTTTCTCTTGTGGCGTTTCTTAGCATAGGTAGGCTGGGCCTGTTGCATTGTCCACTCTTCAAGCCCAATGGGCTCTCGTGTGAGGGGGCGTGTTGAGATATATAGTCTCACATTGGTTGTATGTGCAACTAATGTGGCCTTTACCCAAAAGCTAGCTCAAAGGGTGTGAGTGTCCAAGGCCTTATAAAGGCCACATTAGTTGAACATACAACCAATGTGAGACTATATATCTCAACACGTCCCTCCACGCAAGAGCCCTTTGGGCTTGAAGCGTGGAATTGCACAGGCCCAATTTTTTGATTTACCTTTTGTGCTTTTTTATTTTTAATTCCACTTTTAAAGTGGGGAACGGTGAAGATCGAACTTGTGACCTTATAGTCACTCAAGCTCTAATACCATGTAAAGAACCTTGGAATACATCACTCCAAAAGCTAGCTCAAAGGGTGAGAGTGTCCAAGGCCTTATAAACTCCACATTAGTTGCTCATACAACCAATGTGGGACTACTATATATCTCAACACCTGCCACCTATAAAAAAAGACAAAAGCATTTTTTCAAATACCAGAGATAAAGTTATCTCCAGTGAGCTCAAAACGACGTCGTTTTGGATTATAAGATTATAAAATTATAATGACAAAAACTAATATAACCCTGTAATATATTATAATTACAAAAACACCTTAATTTTTGCCCAAAAACAACGTCGTTTTTGACTCACGGGAGATAACTTTATTTCCGGTGACGAAAAAAATCCTTTACCCATAAAAAAAAATTATTGCACAGAAATTGATGACTCACGACAGGTGAAAACAACTCTCCAGCAATATGAGAGTTGTTTCCCCCTAAATACATATAGGGTTTGTTTTTTCTGATGTTACTTTAGATAACTTTATCTAATGTTCATCAAAACGACGTCGTTTTGGGACGGAAATCATGGTATTTTTGTAATTTCAATTTATTTCAGGGTTATAATAGTCTTTATCACTCTAATTTTTTAATTTTTCAACTCCAAAACGACGTCGTTTCGATGAACATTAGATAAAGTTATCTAAAGTAACATCGGAAACTTTTTTCCCATATATATAACATAATAATCTAGAATTAATATTTTTATATTGTAGGAGATAATTATATTTCCTATACATATATTAAAGTATATTGAATTCATATTATTATTTTTTCTCTTTCTTCTTTTTATATGACCTCATATAGACTTTATATACTTTTATATATAGATAGGAGATAAAGTTATCTCCTATAATATTAGAAGTATTAACCCCTAATAATTTATGGAAAATATTTTTCTTATGTTGTAGAAAAATAGTTATTTCATGTTGTAGAAACAAAATTATAAGTGGAACCCACAGGTAAGAAAAGAGAAAATAAATGATGAAATTCATCCCTCTTTTGAGTGTATAGAAAAATTATTTCTTTTATATAAAATAAGATAAATATAACCCATGTTTTATATACGCAAGTATTTATATTCGTTTCTTGAAGCAATATGAAAAGCTAAATAGTGAATAAGGTTGTTCTCTTTCCTTTATGCAATTCAACAACCCCCACTCTAATTTGGTTGCTTGCACACTATAATTATTCCGAAAATATAAGACGAACCAGAAGAAATTAACATTCTCAATTAATAAATAACTTTTTCAATGAATTCTTTTGAATTGTTTAAAATAATATCTTCCTTAACGTCGTCGCGTCTTTCATCCATTTCACGCTGCAAATCAAAACCACAAATCTCACATACTTTGACCACTAAAAGCCTGCCATCACAAAACCTGTCTCCCCACTGATATTTTCCTGGTGAAACCACATCGATCAGAAGCAGCCTCTTTTTTTTTTTTACTTTTTTTGGAAATAAGAAGCAGCCTCTCTTCTTATACAAGAAAAATGCTTTAGAACTATTTCTCTTTCTCTCTCTTCCTTTTTCCATTTCACTTGAAACCCTAATACAGGATCTTTTTCTCAATCTTTAGTAATCCAAAATCTAGGACAAAGAGGTAAGAAAAAAGAGAGGACAAAGACTTCTCTCACCCTCCCAACTCCCAAGTCCTAACCCAAACACAGTAACCTATGTTCATAACATCTGTGCAGGTATTAAATACATGATCATTCGTAGCTGTTTACGTAATACCCTTTTGCTCGATCAAAGACAGATTAAGAAAACGTGAGCCAAGCACCGTGTACTGGTTGGAGCAGATCAGAGCCATAAAGAAGTGAGCGGTGAGTACTTTCTGAAGAAGAAAAAAAAAACACTTTCTCTGTTGTTTTTCTCTTGTCTTTCTTCTCCCATACCTTATTCTGTACCATCTCTTAAATATGGAGTATGTGTAAGTAAGCAAAATCTCTCTGAACCAGCCCAAATCACTGTCTCCCTCACGTCTTTCCATTTTCTGCTCTCATGGATTCGGGTAACAGTAGTGGGAGTATACAATCCACCAGCGGTGATGATGAAGAGTACGATTCACGCGCGGAATCATCATTCTCTGCGTTCTTAAACAATTCACCATCACTAACCCATGTTGGTCCCTTCAGTAATAGTACCACTACTAACCTCCCAAACGCAAACCCACACCCACTACCACCACAACACCACCATAATAACAATACCCACATGTTTGACCCTTTATCAAATTACTTGGATCCAATACAAAGACATACATCATTTCCCAACCCAAACTCACTGTTGAACCTTGACGTGATGTGGTCCAAACCTGCTAGATCAGAACCAAACCCCACCGATCTTGGTAGCTTGATACCTTGTTCATCATCCTCAACCTCACCACAGAACCAAGCTTTTGTTCAAACGAGAGGCAATAATACTGCTGCTTTTCTTGCGACACACAACAACTTGGCTTCAGAAAGTGGTTCCCGAGGATTACTTTCGGTGTCAGCCGCCAACAATGATCAAGCCAACAACACCAACATGGTTCGAAACCCAAAGAAACGGTCCAGGGCTTCTAGGCGGGCACCTACCACAGTTCTCACTACAGACACCACAAATTTCCGAGCCATGGTTCAGGAATTCACTGGTATCCCTGCACCACCTTTCCCATCCTCGTCTTTCCCAAGAAGCAGATTTGATCTCTTTGGTTCTGCTTCTACTTCAACTATGAGATCCACCCATTTGGACCCTCCTTATCTTCTTCGCCCTTTTGCTCATAAACTTCCTCATCTTCACCCGTTTCCTCCTTCCTCTTCCATGATGGACACTTTATTAGTAGCTTCCAATAACTCAACTAATTCTACTACTAATTCCACTTCCATTGATCACTTAGGCCTTCTAAAGCAGCCTCATCAGCCTCTCAACTTTAACATGCACAACCCAGTTCTCAACTTCCAAACACCCCCAAAGTACCCTCTTGACAAATCTTCTGTTCTTGTCTCCAAGACACAAACTTCCTTGGAAATTCCGCCAAGTTCTGATTCATTTCTCAAAATGGGGGTATTTGAGGAATTAGGATTGAGGCATGACCGTGTCAACGCCAACGTTAGTGGCCTTCATCAAAACATGGTATCGTCACCTTCGGTTCGAGTTGGATCATTGTCAAGTGGCAACAATAACTTGAGTAATGCCTCAACAGCATGGGCCCAAAGAACGGACACCATTACCAACAATGATTGTGGTCACGGAGGAGGAGCTATGATGTCTCTCAGTGGCACTGACAACTACAGTAATGTTACAGAGCGAGACACAAATGGCAAAGTACACTATTCAGCTTCTTCATCGGATTTTCATGGAGAGAAGGGGCCAGAGTGTACTGTAGCTGCAAGAAGCGAAGGTATGGTGGAATCATGGATTAATTGTTCTTCTGATTAAGTGCCTCCACCGAAAGATCAAAATGATCGACTAATTAAGAAACGGAATAAGAAGAAAGTAGATTTTATGTTTGTGATTTCATAAAGTTTAAAGCAACTGATGGCAGTATAATTCTAATGCATGAAAGAGAGAATCTTGAAATTGTCATCTTAACTATGACCATCAATTTTATTTTTATTTTTTTAATTTTCTTTTTCGTTGTACTTTGGGTCCCTCAAATTATGTGTAAATAATTTGAAGCTAGTTTGTCTTTCTCTCTCTCGTTTTCTTTCTATTATTTTGCCCCCCCTCAAATTTTGAAGTGTGTTTTTAATCGTATATACACTCATATACAAAAGGATGCTGGTGGTTACGAACTTTGAGTGTTTATTACTTAATTTGTGTCTGTGTTTGAGGTTATTATATATGGATCTTGGTTTTGAGTTGCGTGAGTTTATTAAAGAATTTATATAATGTGCTGCGTTGATTGAATACAAGCAAACCGTGTATGTATACATCACTCTCTAATGTCTGCAAAGCTCTCCTCTCTTCTTTTATTTTTTGTAGTCTTTAATTTAACACCGATTACACAGTTGAAGGTTCTGGGAGTAAATAGTGGCGAGATTTAGGGAATTCTTAGCCGCCACAATCTTGCTTTATCGAATCAGAGACATCTTCATGTGTTTTTAACTTTTTCAAAACAAGAAGATATAAAGCACATTACACATGGGCATGTATCAATGGGTCCATGCATTCTCGTCTTCATTTATGATTTGTCTTTTAAAACAATAGAAAGACAACAATTGACGAAACATGTCACGGTTGTGCCTTCACAACTAAACCAACGCTTTTTTTTAATGATATTAATGTTTTTTATGTCACAAGGGAATAAAATTATATTATATATACATATAAAAGTGTGTGATATTTATATATTTTCTCTCTCTTTTTTATGTGAGTCCATATTAGAAGATAAAATTATTTTTTATAATATAAAAAATATTAATCTATATATATATATATATATATATTTCTCTACGATCTATTTTTCCGTATTTAAGGTATAGCTATTAGCCACAATATAGAGGCATACGTATACGTCATCACTCCAAAATTAGCTCACATCATCTATACTAGCGAGTATAATGCCATCCATGATGTATCATAATTAATGAGATTTTGAAATCACCAGTTGAGCCAATTATCTGGCTACACATTTAAATTAAAATCATTATACGCTGAAAAATAGAAAAAGGAAAAAGTGTGGATTGAATTTGAATCATTAAATTAGCTGTCCCTCACATTTGTCTGATTTCGATTGCGCACCATATATTCCTCCTCTGAAGAAAAGGGAAAAATAAAGGAAAGTGCTACGCGTGCATGTTCTATTACGCTCATAAATGAAACTTTTTATCTTAAGGGATTTGACAATTGTACGGTCTCCAAAGTCTATAATGTGGTTGAGAAGTGCTAATCGAAGAACGAAAACCACACAGGATGAAAAAATGCCAGGGGCAGGGTGGATGAGGAGATGGAATGAGACTTTCAACAAGAAACATATATTTGGTAGGAAACTTTTTTTTTATTCTAAAATTATAATTTTCAGGAATATGGCGACATAATGATTTTTCTGCAAATATTACTAAAAAACTATTTAGCAGGCTAAAGAAATATTGGATCAATTTTTCTAATTTTATGTTAGGTTGATTGTAAATTATTGCTGGGAATATGGACCGAATTTTCAAAATTAATCTTAAGTGTCTTTTTTTATTATTCAGTGTCATTTTTTTCTTCTTTATGCCTGTCTCCCTCTCTTTCTCTCTGTCTCAACTTGAGTTTGCCGCCGAAACCAAGGCGATCAAGGTTGATTCCAGTGAGGTCATCGCAGAGGATTCCCTCGTATGAGCGAGGGCAAGCAATGTATACTAGTGAGTGAAGAAGGGTAACCGTGAGTCCAACACTCTCTCAAGCGGATCTGTTGTTATCCCTTTTTTGAATTCTAATAGAGATCGGAGCTATGATTGGGAGAAAGAAGAAACCGAAACGAAAAGTGAAAGAAGAAGAAGAATAAGAGTGAAGGGTATTTTTGTCTAAAAATTAGTCAACATTTTCCTACCGTGTGAGATTTCTAAAATACCACCTATTTAATGGTATTTTGATTTGGGATTTTTGTGTGTAAAGTAAAATCCTGATATTGTGATTTTTCTAGAAAAATTTTTACACTTCCTTGTATCCAACGTGGGTAAATCAAATATCCAATATCACTTTTATAAGAATCGTAAATTTTTTCATATACCAAACACCCCCTAAAATTCGTAATGGGACACAGATATAATATAAGGACATAAGACTTTGAATTTTTTTCCAAAATCTTACAAAACGGTTAGATTATAATATACAAAATTAACATAATATAAAAACAAAAATTATAAACTAAAATATAAACATTAATATTTTTTAAAGTTAATGTTAATTATCATCATTTATTTATTATTATGACCTTTTATCTAAATTGAAACAAAAATTCTAACAAAAAATTGAAAAAAATTATAAAATACAAGTTAGGAGTACTCTTCAAGAAGTAGCGGACATCAGTACAATAATTATTGGGAAAAACTACTCTTATGCAACATAAGAGTAGTTTTATCTCCTACACAACCATCGAAAACCGTGACACTCTTTTTTTTTTTTTTTCTTTAAATGGCGGACCCCAGCATATGTATCTCTATAACATGAGAGAAGATCTTTCATGTAACATAAGATTAAATGAGCCCATAATTATTTTGAAGTCTTCATGGTTCATTGGACTTTGCTGGTGTGGTTTGTTCATGTGAATGGCAACTTAGTATTGAAAGAGACACATTTTTTTAGTAAAGTTAAAATTATTCAATTTTGCTAGTCATATATAGAGAAACATCACGATTGCGTCTAATGTGTCTATCAATATATGGTCCTCCTACGTCCAGTCATATTAGAAGAAGGGAAATTCTAGTTCAAAATCAGACTTTTCATAAGAGTGTATTTGCAACATCTAAATCAAAGTGTTCCACAAAGGCAATAAAATTTGTAGGTTCAAAATTCAAGTGTGAACGAGTATCATATTGTTAGGGAAAAGAGTAAATGAGTATCGTATAAATAAAAATTATAGATTCATTCATTGAGATTTTGGATCATGATAAAATGTCTGAATCATTTATTGTGGTTGGGCTAGCAGTTTAGTCAGTTAGGACTTAGAAATACCAGTACTATATTTATTTATTTTAATTGATGCGTTAGTGGAGCAATCACCTGGGCGGGAGAGGGATATACTTATTATAGCGGAAAATTAAATATATGACATTATCTTCATGTTTTAATCTTCAGCTACAAGCTAGTTTGCAAATTTGTACAATCAACGTGGCCACAATGTTCACATTACACCCTATTTTCTGCATAATAATTTTCATAGGTTGAAAGTAGCCTATGAGCTGCGGGATAAGAAATCAGCACATTACACGCATTGCTGATGCAGCTACGTACGTAACATTCTACATGGTTTAATGAGTTATAGGGGGATCTAATTTTGCGGCTCTAATCTACCTAATAAACTGGTTATATTTATAATGAATTTGAAAAAACAAGATCTAATTAATTGCTATGCCACAAAGCAGCCGCTATATAGGTTCAATTAATTTATTTAATTTCCGAAGCACTTGCCCAAAAAAGGGAGGATTAAATTAACGGAAGCGTTAAAACTAATTTATTTTATTTATCTAAGGATTAAAATTATGATAACAAATACAACAAAAAGGGGGAAAGGGAGGGAAAGGACATCTGCTTTAAGCACTCCTGAGCTGGAGTCGTTATAATTTGTCGAAGTGGCTTGTCTTTTGCATGAAATGGCCCGGGATATATATAATCCATTCCAAAAGTTAAAAATCTTTTTCGATTTCTTTGATTGATAGATCAATGATTCTTTTTCATTTCGCTTTTTGGGTTTAAATTTAGAAGGATGAGAGGGAGATAAATGGGATGGCATTCAAAAAAATTTGAATTATTTTTAAAGGAAAGGCACATGAATCAATAAGAATCATAGTAAACCATGGGGGTGCTTTCACAAAAGGGAAGCAGTTTTCACATTAACTTTTAATAAACTAGCAAAGACTATTATGAAGTAAAATTCAAATGATTACAGGGATAGGATATGGGAGATTTTTCAGGAGTGAGATTGGATGGCACTACCTTTGACATTTCATTTTTTTTATGATGCATGGTGGCCCATTGCCACTGAATAAGACTTCGCAGCTTTTGTGCACTTCAACAGTGATGGCTTTCTCCCACACCCTCCCAGCCCTATCCCAACCTACAGTTCCCTATAATTTTGAGCCTAAACTAAAAAAGATGAACACCTTTTCCCGTCCTCATGAAAAAGGCTGTACTCCGTCGGAATAAATTTTTTATGCATCATATGTATTTAATGGAGTGTTTTTTTTTTCACATTTGAAAAAAAATTCACCATTTTTTTTTTGGATATTTTTAAAATATCCAAAAAATATATTTTTAAAATATCTTTTTTCTGCCACATTGAAAAAAAATATACCCAATTCAATATATTTGATACACCAAAATTTTGTTCCTTCGCTTGAATTCATTCCATGATTCCATCACTAGGGAAAGTATAACTTCAAAGTACCTGATACTATAGAAAAAGACAAAGCTATATAAATTACAGGAAACCTTATTTTAGTTCTCTGGTCATCACTTTAGTCGTTTTTTTTTTTTTTGTTAAAAAAGTATTAATATTTATATTTTTCAAAATAAAAATAAAGATTTGACTTTAAGTATATAATCATATTGTATGGCCAGGTTAGCAATCCAATAAAGAACCATGAGGCCTAAGGGACAATGACCATACTGCCACTTTTTAGGCAAAATTTTACTTGATTGTCACTTCTGAAAAAAATTTTGCCAAAATGCCACGCCTGAATCCCGCTGGTCTGACAAGCGGGAATGGACTGGACACGTGCCAGCGTCTGAATGGTCAACCATTCTCGCTGGGCTACTCAGCTAGAATGTCAGAATGATGACACGTGGCAAAAGCACAGGCATTCTCTGGATGTCTGTACTTTTGCCACGTGTCAGCATTCTGTCATTCTAGCTGGGCAGCCCAGCGAGAATGGTTCACCATTCAGACGCTGGCACGTGTCCAGTCCATTCCCGCTTGTCAGACCAGCGGGATTCAGGCGTGGCATTTTGGCAAATTTTTTTTCAGAAGTGGCAATCAAGTAAAATTTTGCCTAAAAAGTGGCAGTATGGTCATTGTCCCTGAGGCCTAACATGGAGAAAGCCTAATTTATTCCAGGAAAATATTTTCGGTATTGCGG